ACGCGTTTCAGAAAGGCATAGAGGAGAAACAATAATGTACAGTATGTGGAAAATAATGTGTTTTTTGAACCTTAAACCGCATAAACACATTTCATTACACCAAATACACAAAATAATGTTATTTTTAGCAACATCATATGACCCCTTTAACCAAACTGTTACAGACTTTTCATTAAGACCCTTAAGAATCATATCAACTTGTGGAAAATGGGCATCCGATGACCCCTTTAATGCATTATTCTGCATGACCATATTGTAGATCCCTTAAAGGCGGCATGAAATCAAAATGGAAAATTCTTTTTTTTCAATGGAATACTGTAGTGTTTATTATAAATAATTTATCCGTGCACTTCATTATTTTTTAAAAATTCATGTGCCCTCGTAATCTTTAATCAAAAACGTTACCCTCCCCTCCCCCTCAAAATGACTCATCTTCTCTTCCGGTCACGAGCTATGGCGCAAGGGCGGAGCTAGTGACGTGAGGGGTAAACGCTGGGATAAACGGTGGAAAAGCTGTAGATGCTTCACTTTATAGAAATCAATGCATTGGCCAGTGCTGACGTGAGCCATGGGGGAGTACACTACCCTTAAAAATTGAAAGGATATTAATATATTACTACAACATTACTCTTAGGACATCACAATCTATTTTTTTTTTTAAGAATATGACTTAACCTGATGGAGGACACACTCAGTCATTCAGGCAGTCTCTCTCTCTCTCTCTCGCACGCGTACGCGCTGTTAGGCATGTTTTGCCATTGATCGTCCTCGTCGTCGTCATCCTCAATAAATAAAAAATTTCTTCATGCTGGGGTGTCTGCGGTGAATCCAGTGGAGAGAAATCCCTTCACAACTAACTGCAAACTGGCATTCAGATCTGCCTCCATTTTGTTAGCAACACCCCAACTTCCAATGATCCAATCAATTCTCGAGGGATGAAATCAAGTCCCGCCCTCTCATTTCAGATGCCGTTTCACTCGGATAGATTGACAATGACAAAAAAGACAATGGACCCTTTTCACATTTCCGGGTTTCTCAGCAGCGGAAGTCGTCATAGTTAGGTTAACTTGAAGAGCAGTGAATGGGAGAGCACCACAAATATATTTTTTGCATTCCCATTTGCTCAAATAGCAAAAGAAAAACTCCACGATAGTGTTTTCATGGATTTCAATAAAAGGAAAAAAATTGAGAGAGACTGATAACGGCTGTCAGAAGAGAGAACGATGTCAAATTTACCGTCCCTCCCATAGACTCTGCATTAGAAACACCCTTCGCATTAGCGTTAACTGTTTTTTTGTAATTTGATGCAAAGGTGATATAATACAAAGAATAGTGTTATAAATGTACATACATTTAAAAAAAAATACAAATATGAAAAACTTTCGAGGATTTACGATGCTGATGACCGTTAAACGCGTCATCACAGTCTTGTGAAAAGGGTCCATCGCTACTTCCGTTTCATGCCGACTTTAATCCTGAACTTAACAACTACCCTACTAAGCATTAATAAGCAGCAAATTAGATATTGAGGCAAAAGTCATAGTTAATAGTGAGAATTGGACCTTAAAATAAAGTGTGACCCTTATTTTATCAATAGCTACAGACCATTTGGTCCCAAACTAGCTAACCACTATTGAGTGAGCTTAATTTATGCTACATTTGCAATCCTGTTAACCATTATTTTATTTTATTTGATAAATCTGTACAAATATTTATTTTTTGTATGTCTATATTGATGTATATTTTACTGTTATTGTTATAAAGTAACAAAATCACACAAATCAGGGTTCTTAACTATATTTAAACATGTCCCAAAGGTGGTAAATCTTTTGAGGTTGATAATCAACAGTTATTGTTTCATCTGAAGGCTACCTCTTTCACCTGTTGAAGAAAAAAAATCTTAATTTATTTTATTTTTTAAAATTATTCCTGGAGCTGTTTTGTGTTGTGTTTGTGGACTTATTTACATATTATGCATGTTAAGTTTTGACAGATTTTTCCAGCGTTGGTTTTCTAATGTTGCCACTTCCAAATCTGACAGAAAAAAATGCAGCTGCAAGCTCATTCCCCACACAGTTGGCAGAACACACAGATATGTACCAGGAGCTTTTTTTTTCTCAGTGAGCATTCAGTAGGCTCAGAGTGGGAACTCTTGTTTGAGTTGCTTTGTACGTTCGGGGTCTTTTCTAGGGAAGAAGGGACAGCAAAGACAAGCCCCAACAAGAGCTTAGGGGATTAAGTTCATTCTCACTGCCAATTCGTCACCTTCCCTGTGCCCTCTGCTAGTGGTCTCAATGTGCTGCAGTGTTTTGTGGTGGCTGATTCACTTCAGTGAACAATTATAAGAAACACCAGCTCCTCCAAAAGCAGGAGGAAAAATATCCTCGGGGTTTTAGTCCTTCATCGCGTACAAGAGGACAAAAAAAGCTCTAAATCATGAAGTTGTATGCAAGCTGCTCGGGCCGCAAGCCGAACAATGTTGGAGTCTAGAAGATCCTTAGTGAGCCTTTGTTCCAACGTGTCACTTCTGTACTTCCTTCTGTACAAAAAAGCAGATTATATGAGGATTTGTTGTCAAGATTGTCAATCTAATGCTCATGTGACCGAGAAATCATGGTAATATCTCTATATCTGGATGCAATGAAGTCAAACCGTTCGAATGCTCGACTAGTCTCAAATTTTCAAGTGTTTCTTTCTCTTTGAAAGCAAATGTTTAGATGATGGACAGTTGTGGAGTGATGACACGGCTCGGTCTTCTTGCACTGGGCACCCTTTTGTGAGCAAACACTTTTTGTTGAGTCTGTCTGTGTATGAGTACCCCACTCTGAAAGGATTCATTGAGTCCATGGATGAGTAACCTCGGGCCGCTCG